AACACCAAAACTTCCATACAAACAAACAGGCACTTTTTATGCAGTGTTAGCTGCAGGGCATATATAAAAGAAATTCACAAGCTAAGCATTGCAATCTCATGGGCATCTTTGTCCCTCCACTTGCTACCTTCCCAGTCCAAATGATACAGACAAAAAAAAAAAAAAAAGAAAAAACCAGTAAGAACAATCAAACAATCTCCACCCTAGGAGCAACTGAGCAGGCTAAGAACTCATCAGCCTAGAAACAGATAAAGGTCTATAGAAAGAATGGCATGGAAAAAATGAATAGGGATCACATGATTATTGCATCTTTCAACGCAAGAAGGGAAAGCCACCAAATGAAACTGACTTTCACAATAATCTGAGTAGGGAGCAGTGGAGTAGACTGGCAGCAGACAAATCCTACTTCTCTAATTAATCTGATATTACCTTGCAGGCATACTATACAAGATTACAGTTTGTTCTCCCAGTGTATGAAATGTATTAATACTCCCTCCTTTTTGCTACTACAAACATTAAAAATAAACATTTTTTTTATTCCTTTACTTAGTGGTCAGATTTTCAGCAATGACTCTTCTGCACAGCAGGACATTTTCACACTGCTTGCTGCTTCAAGTAATGACAAAATAACAGAGCTATGTAGCAACAGGTGAATTTGAACTTTTCCTGAACATAGTGGGGATTGGAACAGGAACACCCCAACTGCCTTTTCCAAAAGGCTGATCAAAAGGAGAAAAAAAAAAAAGAATGCCAGAAGTCAAGGACTAACACTTTAAAAACCAAGTGTTCTCTGGGTGTTCACTTCATAACCAAAATTAAGAGTGTGCATATGAATGTAGAACACAAAAAAATTGCTGAGAAGTCCTTAAGATTCAAAGCAATGCAGCCTCCCTCCCACACCAAGCAGAACCATCTCTGGTTCCTAAACAGAGGTTTGGAAAGAAGGGAGAGAAGAGGTCAGTTTTTTGCAGTGTTTCAGTGAAAGCAGACCCAATCAGTGTCTTCTTTGCCTCTCAATCTAATGACCATATGACTTGGGCTTCATTAGGAACTGTTTTTCCAAGAGTATTTACCAAAAACGTTCTTTACAGTTTTCATTAATAGTGGAATATTCACATTGGATTTCTAACAGAATTTATCTCTAAACTTTCTTGTGCAAACAGGCCTGCAGGCTTCTCCTAAAGGCTGGAGCAGTTGCTTAATAAGTATCCAATGCGTTTCTAATCACCAGTAAACAGCTTAGACATTGCATTTAAATTCCAATTATTTTGATGCAACACAAGCATAAAAATACACTTCCATTTTTAATAATTCTCAATCTCTTAAATGGCTAAGTGGATTTCACTCCAACTGTTAAGACTGGACTGCAAGTAGAAACAAAAACATTAAAAATTTTGGTCTAAATAAACACCCAGAATGATGAAAAAGTCATTAATAGCAGAAAGATCTAACTAGTTTGCAAAGAAGGTAAAATTTTAACTTCAGATTGCTGAAATTTTCTAAGGTTCAAGTGCTTCAGAATATTTATATTTCTGATAAATAAATTAAATGCTCTGGAACAAAATTATTCTGTTCATCAAAATTAAGTCTGATTTTAGAATGAGACTGAGCCAGTTATAGAAAAACTCACAAGAATGAGATCAAAGGCATTAAGACTTACAATTTGAGGTATGGGGAAGAAAATTCAACATTTTTTAAGTAAGTTTTGGCCTTCTGAAAAATGTTCTCACAATCCCTTCTCCCCAGCTCAACACGCAAGAAATCCCATGTAGAATGCAAGATTCAGGATGGAATGCACGCCAAATGTTCTCACCACAGTGGTTTTTTCAGGGTTGTTTTTTGCTATTGTTTTTTGTGTGTGATGGTTTGGTTTTGGTTTTTTTTTAAGTTAAAATTTTGTTGATTGCTCAGATCTGAAATAGGTACAGTCACTCTTGGCAAAAAGACTCTCTCAGTTACTCTTGATCTTCTACTCATTTGAAGCATGTTTTGCAAAACTAGCAATGCATGGAAAAGCCAGAGTCAGAACAGGAATTTTCAAACTGTGTTAAATGACTGCACAATCTGGTAATCAGTTATGTTCATACAAAAAAAACTTCATCCACTAAGTACAATCATACCAGTACCATATGTAAATTCTTGGCTTGGTAACATCTGTAGATAACAACAGTCAACTTCTTAGAACATTATTTTACCCCTTGAGGTCAGTTGTTAAAAGTTAAATCTTTATTCATTTTGGTCTCTGATCAATGCATTTTCTCTAAAAGTTTTCTTCCACATAAACTAGGCTGGAGAATGACGTCTGAGATTGTCTCCAAGATTCACAATATAAGAGACCTTGCTACTACGTGAACTCCTTAATAAATGTCAAGGGTGAGTTACAGGGGTTCTTTAGCTACAGCCAGAATCCATCAATCTTAATATTGCAATCTTAGGAGACTGCAATTATACGGTTATGGTAAGTAAACAATCTCAGACGTATGAATCTTGGAGACATTCTTATGATACCATAATATTAGTGAATATTCATTTGGGAGTACATTACTAATCAACAGAAATTACAAAACATTATGTGAACATCCGTGAACATTATCTAAGAAAGATGTACTCTTAATCAGAAAAATATTTCTAAGGACTTTTTTCCCCCCCCACACAAACACTTTTTCAGAGAAACTTGGAATTTATTCTCTGGAAAAGAACAAATTTCACATAGGACAAGTTTGAATGGTTTCTGATCATAGACTAACTGCTGTTGATACCATTTTAGTACTAATAGATTCACCAGGGAGAAGGAGGAATCAACAGGAACAAGAAACTCCCACCTCCCCACTGTCAGGCAGTAGATTTAAATAAGACAAAAGCAATCTAAAAAAAAAAAGGAAGCTTTTTCTCTTAAATAAAATGCACAATTAAGTTACAGGACTCACTACCATGCAATTCTGTAGGGGACTAAAAACCAGCAGGAGTAGTTCAATAAGGAACTTGATGTGTTAAGAGAATAAACCAAGTTGTGGCTACTGTCATGGCCTGAATGCAATTTTCACCCTGGAAAGCCTTTAAAATAAATCATAAGGAACATGTACTAAAGAGATATCACATACATATGGCTTATTGTGCTAATCCCCATGGCATCTGCTACAACTGCACTAAGACTAGACTACAAGCTAGATGGACTTTAGTTCCTACTAAAACATTTCATATCTCCCAGTCCTGTGCTTCACGCACTACAATAATAGTTATTTTGGGTCAAATTTGCCTTCTACATACTGAGACCGCTGTCAAATAGGTTTGGAAGATACAGTCCTTTAGCTTTTAAACAATCTTTTATGAAGATGTTCTTAGACTCATATCAGAGATTTTGGAAGATGCATTTGAGAACTTGTTCTCAAAGCAGAAAGTTTGAGAAGAGACAGTCACATGGCTTTGCAAATGCATTTCAGCGAAAGAGCACGAATAGCAATCTGCCACATCAGGAATTGTTTTCCAAGTTGCAACCAATATGCATCACTTCAATACGAATAAGTACTCATAGCCTGGTTTTAAGAAGCACGAAAGAAGAGATTCAAACATCCTTTCCAGCAACATTAAGTATTGTCTTTCAATAACATGACAAAAGTCACATCAATACCAAATCCATACTTGCTGTGTAGGAAAACAGACTGTTTCTATTTCAAAGAACATCTTGTGTAAACTCCACTTGCTATTAGCTTTCTAACCTAGAAACACAGAACTTTAGATTATTCAGTCACGTTTGTATTCATCAATATTTGCAGATTCTCAACATATCCCAGGATTTATACTTGAACTTACAAATGCTGAAGGCAAGAAAAGGACTCCAAGTTCGTAAGAGCGGATCATCAGTTGTGTACCATTTTTCTCCAGAGCTCCCCAAGCTGCTTTAGATAGATTGGCACTGCAAAGAAAAACAAAGCATTTCAGTGAGGCATAATCTTCACAGCAGAAATGCTTAAGTACCACAGCTGCAGCAAAGCACTTCGAGCAGGAGAACTTCAGTCACAGTAGCCTTTTCATAGAAAGCAATTTGGGTGTTATTCCCTACTGCTACTTTAATAGTACAGTGGGAGTAGCAGAGACAATATACAGAAGGGTATTAATACACATGTGGATAATTATACAAGCTTACTTATGTCATAGAGATCTGTAAGACAAATTCACCCTTTTTGAATCTTCTCTGCACATTTCAGAAAGGAACCTGGTATTGGTAAGTAGCTTCAATTTGATGACTTAGAAATATTAAAGGCTAGCTCAATTATGACTAGTTAAATTATACTACATTTAGCACAAAGCATTTTCACAAGTGTTAAATTATCTTCTGCCCTGGACATTTTGTTCTTTGACACATCTATGAAAACAAATATTTATTGAAGAGGCATTTTTGTTTTAATGTGCTGTTCAGCACCAAGTTGTAGTTGATCCTTCATCAGTATCTGCTATGAAGTAGATTGGAAGTTCAAAAATAAATGCAATTCTGTTGTCAAAATCTACAACAGAATACAAAGCTTAAACATTACATTTTAACTGACAGATATACTGGATGCTTTTTGATATTAGGAAATGATGAAATAGAAGAAACATGAGAAAAAAAATAAAAGCAACCATGAATTTCTGTATTAGGTAGAGTCAGCATCACATTTGAATGACATAAATCCTTTAAAAAGCACCTTAATCACTACTACTATTGCAGGCAACAGTATCAATGAGTGATGAAATTTAAAGAGCCAGAACATAAAGAGGAAACAAGATTAAAGTAACTGAGTATTTAAGAGTCAGGATACAAAGATCATGATCTATAATATATAGGGTTGCACAAAAATCAGTTTTGGCAAAACAGAAACGTATCTGTAGTTTTCATTTACAGTAAGACATTCACCCCTCACATCAATAAATTTCTTGCTCCCTCTTTTGGCTTCTTTAAAAAAAAGAAAACAATAGAAATAGAAATACAAAGCTAGACTTCAAGCTAAACTGCTGAACAACTCAAACTGACAAAAGGTCAGATTCCAAATACTAGCTTGTTTTGTAGCAATAAGGTAGCACAAGGATAAACTTAGGCTTAACCCATATCTATTTTGTATAGACCAGTACATTCATGTACATGTGCTAAAGAATCTCAACCCAAGGTTTAAAAATACCTATCACTTCATAGAATCATAGAACAGTATGGGTTGGAAGGTACCTTAAAGATCATCTAGTTCCACCCCCCCGGCCGTCAGCACGGACCCCTTCCACTAGACCAGGTTGCTCAAAGCCTCATCCAGCCTGGCCTTAAACAATTCCAGGGAGGGGGCATCCACAACTTCCTTGAGCAACCTGTTCCAGTGTCTGACCACCCTTACAGTGAAGAACTTCTTCCTAATATCTAATCTAAGCCTACTCTTATCCAGTTAATAACCATCACCCCTTGTTCTATCACTACCTGCCCTTATGAAAAGTCCCTCCCCAGCTTTCTTGTAGCCCCTTCAGGTACTGGGAGGCTGCTGTAAGATCTCCCCGGAGCCTTCTCTTCTCCAGGCTGAACAGCCCCAACTCTCTCAGCCTCTGGAGAGGTGTCCTCATAGGAGAGGTGCTCCAGCCCTCAGATCAAACTCATGGCCTCCTCTGGACTCGTTCTAACTGGTCCATGTCTTTTTTGTGTTGGGGGCTCCAGAACTGGACACAGTACTCCAGGTGGGGCCTCATAAGAGCGGAGTAGAGGGGCAGAATCACCTCCCTCGACCTGCTGGCCACGCTTCTCTTGATACAGCCCAGGATACGGTTATTGGCCTTCTGGGCTTCAGTTGATGTTGAACCACAGAATTGGCAGTTATAGCTCAGACAAGATTTTGGTGCAATTGACAATAGTTCCAAACATAATAATTTTACCTTGCAGCCACAAAAGGGGCAGTGCAGTGAAGCAGCATTAAATATGGACAAAAATTCCTATCACTATAGTATTATGGCAGTAAATCACTTGGCCTACAATTGACAAGAATTACATAGGCTTTGTATAGGACTTTTTTTTTTTTTTTAGGGAGAGATGTATGGTTAGTTGTTTACCTTGTCACTAAGAACCATGCAATCTTCTGAAAGTCAGGAGAGGGTCTCATGTATGTCTTAATGTGAGGTATAGCATGACTTCGACCCGAGATTTCTGCTGACCATTTGCTAGAAAAAGAAAAGGAACCTTTTTCTTATACAGTTTTATTCTGAGGTCTAAAAAATACTTACCATACTACAGTGCCATGTTTTTTGTAATACGACCCTATACTTGGAACATTTAATACTTTTTTTCTGCTACAGAAAGGCTGAAAATACTTTATTTCACTGAATTTTTAATCCTGAAATCTAATCTTACTAGAAGCCAGAGGAGGGCAGGATTTTTTTTTCTTCTTTACAAACAAACCAGACAGATATTCTCCTCAGTGTATCAGGCTCTCCTAACAAGTTCTTCCATTCCTCCACTCCAGCTAGGACTCTAGAAACTAAGTCCAAACTTCCAGCCAATATTTCTTCTTTGAAGACTATCAATGGTTATGCCTTTAAGCAAAAGAAGCTTGGCACCAAATTAAACCTCACAAAATTCCCCAAGCTTATTATAATTTACTATGCATGAAGCAGAGGCAGGGAGATACTGACAGATTGTTGACACTATCCTTCCTCTTCCTTTTTCTGTGCCCCTAAGCCACCGAGAAATTTGAGGACTTAAGAGAGTAGAGGCCCTATCTATGTATTTGGGTAAAAACTACTTTAAAACAACGTGATAGTTTAACTTAGCTGGCAGCCAAGCAAGACACAACCACTCACAGCCTTCCCCCACCTGCCCCCTTCACCCCTCACCCAGGGAATTGGGGAGAGAATTGGAGGGGCAAAGATGAGGAGACTTGTAGGTTGAGATAAGAACAATTTAATAATTAGAGTAAAATAAAATTAAAAGAATAATAAGAGTAATAATGATAAATATATATGAGTGATGCACAGTACAATTGCTCACCGCCCCCTGATAATGATCCTGGAGGAACAAAAAGAAACCCCAAAATCAAAGTCACAATCCTGGAAAAATGAGCCCAAGCGATTCCCGAAACAATCCCCCCCTTTCCTGGTCAGCCCCAGTTAATATAGTGAACATGATGTAATATGTTATGGAATATCTTATTGGCATATCCAGGCTCTGGTTTTGGTTGTCATAATCTTGTTTCCCTAATTTAACATTCTCTTCTAAAAGGCAAAGCAAAAAGAATCAGCTCTGAAAAAAAATCTCTTAAGTGAACTGTGTTTATTTAAAAGCCTAAGACGACTGAAGTGGAAGGGCTGGAATTATTTACCTAAGCTGAGTTTCAGGACTAACTTTTACATGAGTTGAGTCAGGATGCTTTGCAGTTCAGGGGTCAAGATTTACTTATTTTAACAACCCTATCCTCCAAGGAAGGGAAGAAAACTGTTTCCGAGACCTGGTCCTGTGTTCCTAAAAGGCAAGAGCTGAAACACTGTACCCATGTTTAGAGCAAACTAGAGTTCTTCCTATTTTGATGCAAGTCACGCTGAAGTCTGTTTCTGAAAAATAGACTAAGATGTATATGATACAGAAACAGCTAATTAAACTTGTGTTCCCCTACAGAACTCTACACTTCACATACTTACAGACTGTAAGGCTATACCATAACTCAACAATTCTTGTTAATAGCTTTTATCTCACAACTGACAATTTAGGCAAACTTTAAGGCACAAAAATAATTATGTAACTGCAGTAACACTGTAGAAATGAAAACCAGGAAAAATAGTTGAACTGGGAATTGAACACAGATTTTCTTTAGATCTATCTCACTGCCTTACTCAAGGACAAACTTCTCCCCCTACTTTTAAGTGCGATAATTTTGAGACGCTATCTCAGTCTGCTGCCTTTTTGCCTCCTTATAATTTTTGAAAGATACAATTAAGTACCATGTTTTATCAAGAGTACTACTGCTTCTCTTCCATTTACATTTTACAGTAATCTAATTGCAGTTAGTTTCAATTACAAGTGATTGAAACTGGTATTCCAGAAAGTTCAAAACAGAAAGATAAACATACATTTTGGCCATATTTTCTTTACAAGCACAGCACAAATACGTAAGGACAAAAAGGGGGAAAGAAAGTTATTATATTCTTCGATCAGGTTTGGTTGTTCTGGGTTTGGTTTTTTTTTTTGTTAAGTAATTACTTCACTGAAAAACTCAGATGCTTTTACTAAAAGCATTATTAGCAAAGAAGTATTTAAGAAGTGTTTTCCCTTTAGTTTAAAAGTCTGATTAACTCCAGACTGCATAATGAAACTATAAACCAAAAGAACTGGAAGAGGTTTCAGAGGGGTACAGTATCTCATTTAATCTATTCTTAATACAACTAAATTTCAAATTCACCATGGAATATTCCTGGCATATTTTAGGAAAAAAAAAGCCAAAACAGATTACAAAAAGCCTGAAGTAAAATACAAGTGCGGTTGCTTTGCACAGCAAAGATGACAACATATGTAAATATAACAATTTCAGGCATCTTCTAGTTAAATTGGTTGAACACATTTTAAGCTGTTAACTTTTCAACAGAATGGAGCTGGCAGAGAGAGGATGTACACAGGACTGATCTCATGTTGCAGTAAACTTCAGGCACATTCGGTCTCAGAGATAAATATGGCAAATTCAATTAACTAGCTTTAAGAAATTTTATGGAGCCAAACCACAGCTTGTAGTAGTTATTTTTTTGACCATTAGAGGTCATGGCACCTTGTAAACTAAAAGCTCAAGTGTGGGGTGAAGAAAAGGTATTATCAGAATCTGAAGAGTAAACGTGGTTTTTTTGATAGTTTTTAAAATTCTTTTACACTCCTAGGACTATAACTCCTTATCACTACTACTGCTGAACTCTGACTTTAGACCACTAATCCTGATACTTTTACCAATAACTTGCAGCTACCTCCTCCATCTCAGTTTTTTGTGGCACTTCAGTCAGATTTTTTTTTTCCTTTTTAATTACACAGCCTCTAATGTAATGATTAGGTGCACTGAAAGAGGTAATCTACTTTCCAACTCTTAAAACACAACAGCTTTTTGTACCTTTTGCAATCCAGAAAATACTTTGCACTCACTTGCACTGCACTACAAATTTGAAAGCTTATAAGCAGTTGCTTTCATATGTACTTAACCACTAAAAAAATCCATACTAGAGTTTTGCAAGTGTTTGATAAATTTTTCTTTTACTCTGCAATTAATTTTTGAGTTTGAAAAGGAAACTTCTCTGCAATCACAGTGCATTTAGCTGGAAGACATACAGCAAGTATCAATTGCCACCAGTGTCTGATATTTCTGGCATAAAAGAAGCAAGACACAGGCCCCTGTACAAGTGGAACTACTGAGACAGGGAAGCCAGATAATACTAACGTCCTGAAACTTCATCTGTGCAGACACACTCAACCCATAAGCAGAGCCAGGAATAACTCAATTTTCTATACCACCACCTCTCTCATCATTTAGTTCATATAGTTTAAATAGTGAAAGGGCTTTCCATCTCAAGATACTGTCAGCAAGGCTTGAACATAGATAAAAACTCACACAGTCTCAACCATAAGAGAACAGTAGGTCCTCTGTGTAAATGCTCCATATCTCTCATCTTTTATGTTAGGGGAACAACACTAGTTCTTCAAACTGAGAGAAAAGATGATTATTCTTCAAAACTCCACAGTCCTAAAGAACACATAAAGCTCTAATACAACTGCGATTACAGGCTTGTCAACAGCAAGTGAAACAAGTTCTTATCAAACCAATCTCTTCCATTCTTTGAAAATAAAAATTTGACAAGGTAACTGCACAAACATAGGGCACGTGGCACTAAAAGTCAATCAATTGAAACGGATATTAAAATACAACATTTTATGTACTGCTAAAGCCAATCAACTGTTTAAAAAAACCAGCAATTTAACAGAAATCATTAGGGCTAGTGTCTCATATTACTGCAGAGTAAGAATTTGCATCTGGGTAGTCACTACAGAGCAATCATGCAGGGCCACTTGTCATCTGCAATCAGTTCGACAGATGAATTTAAAACAGCCTTTTTATTGCCTACGCAAGATCGTATATGCCCAATGAGACAAGTATGTGGGTGTTTTCTCATTAAACAGGAATAAAACAATGAATGGTCTCATTATCAAGTAATGTTCTTTGCACTAAGTAAGAGACTAACTGAAAAAAGGTTTAATTTTCCTTCCAATAAGATTCTCATGAAGTATATGCTTATAGAAACCTGAAATAAGGCTGCACAAACACCCCTAGTTTTATGATCTCTCCACTTTTGAATGAACAAATCTTGAAGTCTTGAAGGTGTTTGTAGCTTTATTTCTTTGCTGAATGTGCTCAGAAGGCACACTTCAAAGGCAGGAGACACAAAACCTCAAAAGCTTTCTTTTCCAGTTCCATCCCTTGGACATTGACCAGCAAGGCTCACAGCAGCAACCATGTTCACTCCAGAAGGGAAAATGCTTTCTGCAATCAGCAGTTGTATTCTCAGCCCTCTGAACATATTTGCAACTTTACAAACTCTTACTTAGATAAGAGTAAAGTATCTTACCAGTGCAACCTCCACCTGCAATAGCTAAAAGTTTCTGCTGAAAGGAACAGGGAGCTATGGTCTTGTAAGAGTTTACCAGATTCAATTTTTATCTTTTTTTTAAATTTGTCTAAAACAACTTTTCCCATTGTTCTCAAAACATGCTTAAGTTTTTAAAGATGCAGCCTGAGGGAGACATCTGGTACGGGATGTGGTAGACTGTTAGAATCTGGCAATATTAGTAGCAAGTGAAAACAGATTCTTAATGGAAAATGTCAGGCACCTTTAAGAAAGAAGATAATACTGTAAGGGACTGAGCAGCAGCAGGACAGCTGCACTCAAAAAAAACAAACAAAAAAGCCTTCCTAACCCTGTTGTGGCACAGTTGAAACCCTGCTAATACTGAGGCACAAGTGGGAAAGTGAAATACAACTGTAAAAAAATAATTAAAAAAAAATAATAAAAAAAAAAGGAGGCGGGGAAGAGAAGAGGAGTAACATTATTCCAGTTCAGAGAATGAAAGCTTAAATAGAAATTTACAGAATCCCAAATGTGGTAGTGTCCTCCCTTAGCAAAAGTATCTATCCCATATCATTTTTACAGGTAAATAGCACATTTTGACTATGTTTTGGAGACAAGAAACTAAAGGTTTTTATTTTAAGGAGTTTAAGAATATCATCCTTCTGATTGCTTCCCCTTAATTTGCTTTTAGCACTCAAACATTACAGTATTGTAAGTTTAAACACACAGTCTAAGAGGGAAAAAAAAACAAACAAAACAACAAAGAATGGAGTTCTACTTACTTAAAATAGGAATGCAACCACAGCTGTTTCTGTGCTGTCTGTATACTGTATGGAAGCGAGCCACCAGCTTAAGGAAAAAAAAAAAAGAGAGCGTACTTTTGTTTTTTGAAAGACGTAAAAGCAGCAAGCATCTGGGGGGTCTGTTATCTGTACTATCCTCATGACTTGTTTCCATAAAATGGTCTAAGTAGTATAAAATCATATATAGGTTTGGCTTTTTTAAAATTCTTATAATTTAGCAAGTTCCTAAACACTATATAGCAGACTTGCACTAAGAAAAAGAGAAACAATATACAGACTATAGAATTAAGCCCTCTTAGAAGACAGATGTTTCTGGGTAACATTTTGTTATGATACCACTTGATATTAACAGATGAGAATCACTACCCATACAAGCTAGAAGGAAAAAACCAAGCAGCTTTCAGCCAAAAAAATCCCACCAAACCATCAAACAACATTATTTTTAAAAGCAAGAACTTCTTTGAAGAAATTGTATTAATATTGATTTGGTCTTTGGCTAATGCATGTTGTGATTTCTTGAAAAGAATTTAACAGAGGAATCAGCCATGTGAGTTATATTAGCGTTGCGCATTAAAAATATGATGCAAAACCCACTGCATTCACCCTGTCCTAGTATCAGGTCCTTATGGAGCCTTCAAGAGCTGTACTATTCTCAGGGATGCACTAACTACAGGACTCCATTGAGACGTTAATTTCCACAAATAGTGTTATGTAATTCACCAAGTTACTTCACAATATGAAATAAATGACAGTAAGAAGTCATTGCACAGATTGCATCTCTGACTTTCAAGAGTATCAGCTTTGCTAAACAGCTGCTGTAGACAAAAAGATGTATTTCAAAAGACCCTAACTTACTTGTGGAAACCACAGATACCCATAAACTCACTGGCTGCAATTTCTACATATGTCTGAACACTGCTCAATTCAGAAGAGAGAGCTGAAAGCATTCTTGCTAGCTCCATGTTCAAATTCCACCAATTGTTAAAAGAGCTCAACAGCTGCTCCACTTCCTACTACACAGGAGCATAGGTATCCAGCTTGGAACAGGAACATGGATTCAGCAATGCCAAAGAATCAGTGAATCATTGAAGTTGTAAGCACACTCTGGAGATCATCTAGATTAACTCCTTGCTCAAAGCAGGGTCAAACATAGCACATTGCTCAGTACAGTGTCCTCCCAAGTTTGAGTATCTCCAAGAATGGATACTCTACAATCTCCGAGCAACCTGATTCATTTAAACATCAGAAAACATTTTTGCTGCAAGAGTACACTGTATCTCAATTTATGTCCATTGCCTCTTGTTCTTTCACTGCTCAACCTGTAAAGAATTTGCCTCTATTCTGCATCCTCCTATCTGGTATTTATACATATTGATAAGATCTCCCAGAAAAGTTCTTCTCCAGATTGAAAAAAACATCTAGCACTCTTGGCCTCTCCTTGTATGACAGAAGCTCCAATCCCTTACCCATCTTTATGGCCTTCTGCTGGACTTGGTTCAGTATTTCCATGCCTATCTTGTAGTGGAAAGCCAACAACTGGACACAGCACTCCAGATGTGGTCTCACCAGTGCTAAATAAAGAGGACAGGTCACCTCCCTCAGCCTGCTGGCAACATGTTTCCTACTGCAGCCCACGATGCTGTTGACCTTCTTGCCAAAGGGATGCACTGCTTGCCCACCTTCAACTCAGTGATCGCCAGCACTCCCAGGTCTTTGTCTGCAAAGCTGCTTTTCCCCAGTCAGCCCCCAGTGGGTACTGGTGCCTAGGGTTATTCTTGCCCCAGGACAGTACCTTGCATTGCCCTCTGCTGAACTGCGCGAGGTTCCTGTCAGCCCATTTCTCCAGCCTGTACAGTCCCTCTGAAAGGCAGCACAATCATCTGACACATTAACTACTCCTCCCAAGTTTGTATTATTTGCAAACTCATGGAGAGTGTACTGTGCCCCACCATTCAGGTAATTAATGAAGCTATTAAACACACGGCCCCAGTATCAATGCTTGGCACACACCATCACTAGTGGCTAAGCTCCAGCTGGCCTTCATGCCATTGATCACAGCCACTGAGGCCTGACAGTTCAGTCAGTTTCCAATCTGCCTCACTGTCCACTCATCCAGCCTGTACTTCATCAGGTTATCTGTAATTATGTTTTAGGAGACAGTGTCAAAAGCCTTATTAAAGTTAAGGTAAGCAACATCCAGTGCACTGCTCTCATTCATCAAGCCAGTCATCTCACTGTAGAAGGACATCAGGTTAATTAAGCATAATTTCTCCTTTATAAATTCGTGCTAACTATTCCTGATCACCTTCTTGTCCATCATATATTTGGGAATGGTTTCCAAGATTCTTTATTCTATCACCTTCCCAGGGATCAATGTGAGTCTGACAGGCCTACAGTTGCCCAGATCCTCCTTCCCACCCCTGCTGAAGACAGGACTTCAGTCAGTCTTTCTTTCAGTCCTCATTAATCTCTTCCAGTTGTCTCCACCTTTTGAAGACTAATCAACAATGGCCTTGCCCTGACATCAGCCAGCCCCCTTAGCACGTGCAGGTGTAACCCACAGAAGCGCTCGCTTTTGAGAAACAGAAGCTTCAGTGCATCAAAATACTTTGGTACCTCTTCCTCTTTCAGGCTGGCTAAGACCGTGCTTTCTATACAAATACACTAACTTCATGAACACAAACATGGGAAGACTGAACAGAACAACTGCATATTTTCAATATTAACAAATGACTAATGAGTAGCAAGTGAAACACTCAAACTTGAGTTTTCTGCCAAAATTAAAGTATGAGTGGTGTTAGAACAGTGGGCAACAGCTGTGTTTTCCTACACAGTGACACATGAACATGGCTATACAGACTTAAACATTATATACCAATGCTCAAAGCTTTTTCTATTCAATCACAACAGAAGAGCTGGAGTCAGAGCTCCAATAACAGTAATAAAAGGATTCTACTGCCACCTATTCTACCAATTTCTCAGCAAGATGACAACTTCAGGTTCATTCAGCATCAACCACTGAAGTGATTTTGCAGGACATGACTACAATAAGCTAATAAATGGGGGTTCATCTGCTTACCAGGATAGCCTTCCAGACTTTGCCTCACATTGTTCACAGTAGGATAAACCTTCATGGAAGGGGGAGGAAAAAAAAAGTAATTTTAATAACACAGCTCTAAATACACAAGCTATCAATTTTCAAAAAACACCTTAGAGAAAACTTACTTGAGAAAAAACATTAAAAGCTTCATTTTTCAGAATGAATAAAACTACACTGCGGCTTAAAACTAGTCATAGGCCAGTAACAAAGATATTTTACCTCTCTTGCAGAACTTACCAAAACTAGCTAACACGACTCAAACAATCCCACTTCAGCCACTTCCATGGTGGTCAAAGTAAGCCCTTAACATTATTTTATGAGGTGTTAGATTCACATCTCAAATACAAGTATGCAGGGGCAATTAGCACATGGTAAGGGCAGAGTCTGATAGCATTTTTGTCCTTGATTTACCAAGCTCCTGTCACAAACTTGTTTCTGTTCCTCCCCTTAACTGTGCTAGTAACCTGATCAAAATAACCAGGTTAGAAAATAATTTGGTTTAGGTATCAATGACTCAGAGTTCAGTTATATCTCAATAGCAGAAACAGTTGCATCTACAAAACTCAATGGAAGACAAGCTACGAGAATATGATTTTGATTAGATTATATATACACCAGTGTCATGCAGATGGAAATTATGATTTCAGGATGAAAATGACATTAATGTCTTCTAAAAGTTAAAAGCAAACCAATGACTAAGATTTAAACAACAAATGAATAAATGTTAAATAAAGGTCAGTATCATCCAAAAGACATACCAAATGAATTGGAACATCACATTTAAGGAGAGTTGTCACATTGCTGCCTGCAGCCACCAGGCTCTCCTGGAACTCTGAGCACAGCCATTTGGACCCATCAGCTCCCATTGAACCAATGCTTGAGAACTGTCCAACAACAGGCCAGGATTCCTGTGCTGGTTTTGAGGAAGCATGCTCCTTCAAAAGCTAATGAGGGAAATTAAAACATTGTCAGCCTTCAACAGACGAATAAAACCTTAATTAAGGGTTTGATATCACTTCCAATACAATAAATCCTCTATAATTCACTTTTGACAAGAGATTAGCATTCATACTATCTATTTAACTTTGCAATAAAAAAGTCATCAGGCTCTCCAAATAAACTCACTGTTCCTTCCACAGAAGATCAAACATCACAAGTTTTATCCAAAAGCACTGAAGCCAACCATTAAAAAAATGGGTAGAAAGAATGCTAGCAGCATTTCCTACAAACATGAAACATCAGCTTCAGAAGTCACAATTAAACAACTAAATCTTTCTGTATTTGGTGGTTGTTGGCCATAAAATTCCTTGCATATCCTAAAGCCTCAACTACAATAGAAGCCCAGAATAAGAGAGGAAAAAAGAACAATTGAAGAGAAAATTGAAATAATCCTTTTAGAGGAGTTCTTTAGCTGTGAATGGAATTTAAATTCATATCAGAAACAGATGGATATAGAAACATATTAAATTGTATGTACTATCTACCTTTTTCCCCCTCTAGAGAGCACGCAGAACTAAATGGCTTCAGTCACCAGTGTAGTGCCACCAGGTCTAAAAAAATAATCTTTTTAATCATAGGTGTTTTATTTTGTTTTCACTCAATGTCTTACTAAGCAAAAAAACCATGTAGGCAACATACATCAGAAAGGAGAGGTCTCAAAGAGTAACCTTCTGTTGAAAAGCAATGTGATATAGACATTTTGTAAGTCACTAAAGTTTGCCATGGACAACAATTGAATTCCATGTAAAACTCACAATGAAATTTGAAATAATGTCACTTCAGCAGAAGATGCAGGTTGAAAATTCCCCAATTATAAGAGGCATTTAAAAGATGACATGAAAATACCTTACCCGATTCAAAATATACACTGAAAAAGAAGGGGCCCTACAAACTTGAGATAAGCCATAATGGTAAGTCTTCATACAAGACTGCATATCTAAATAACGTGGGAGGAGATGGGGGTAAAAAAAATTCATGTTCCTAATTATTCAGCTGATTAAAAAAAATAATAATAATGAAAAAATAAAATAAAGATCTTAGAAATGTAGTAGAACAAAACTAAAAATCTGACTGAGTTGACAACATCAGCTATGTGCAAACTGGTTTTTAATTTGACTTTTTTTGCCAGGTCATTAGGGAACAAGAAACTGTAACTTTAACATTTAAGTAAATAAAATAAGCCTGTTCCCTATGTGCAGGAAAGTCTTTATCAACACATCGTTCCACAGTGAGTGCCTTTGAAGAAGGTTGTATTTGGTTCCCAGTCACAGAAGACTGGATTTTGATAGTGTCACACTTGTTAGAAACACCAACAGCAGACAAAGTCATTTGAGTGATGGTGCCTCTTCAAATATCTGTAGGCACATGACAGTTCAGACCACAAGCTGACCATGGTAGTAATGCCCAGGAATATTATGTGCAAAGTCTACACCACCTTAGGTTGCAAGCTTATGTTATTGCTAACTTAAACTGTAACAATGTATTAAAAGATTGATTACTAATCATAGCTGGAAAAATTGAAAGGAACTAAAGAAAGCTCTCCAAAATTCTATTTACAGTAAAAAGGATATTAACAAAAAAGTTTACAGTTTTATTACCTTTCTGAGCCTAAGATGACCCCACTTTTCTTTATCACTGCCTTGATATCGTCCAGGCGTAGAACCAAGCAGATATACTCTACAGAAAGAAAAGAAGACCACCAAGTTACTTGCAGCTCTGGAGTGTTTTGGTTTGTAAAGCATTAAGGTATTTAAGCAAAACCCATCAGCAAAGTTGAACATAAAAGTGTAACCAGAAATATTTAGTCTTTCACACATAAGATTTACAATACAAAGAAAAGTGGATTTTCAGCTGCATTATTTATTATTAGCCTCCTATACGGTTGTCACGCACCACCAGGGTGTTCTATAGCACAGATAGGAACTGCATCTATTTCTGTGCACAAAAATGCAGAAGATGGATGATTTTAGCAATAAATGCTTATTTGTCACAGAATTTGGCATGTAATTTTGAGTAAAGCCAATTTATTGCTACATCCAAATCAGTAGATTTGGGTAAGAGATTTCATTTGGGCACTTAATAGCTCAGATGGAAAGTACAGCTTTTTCAACTGTCTTCCTAATAATGGTTTAGTAAGCTGTTTGACTTTGCCCTGAAAACAGAGAAGAGACCTGCCCACAGTCACAACCAACAGATGGTTTAAGAAACTATTCCTTACTGCATCTCATGTCTAGCTTTATGCACGAATTAATGTCTCCTACATACTTAATATGGCAAGGAACTGATCCTTATCCTAACAAGTGACTCTTCCCTAACCCATGCATAAACTTCCATCACCTAGGCCCCAGCCAACCTGTGTAAGTTCATGCAGGTGACCAAGTGTGTAACAGCAGCAGCTCAGGCTGTTATCTCACCTGACTTTAAGGTACATGCTCCCTTGTTTCCAATTTGTTAAGACTCCATGTAAAAAAGCACATTTTTTGTTTTATACATTAAACTAGCAAAAGGTTTCAGCCTACTTCCACCACAGTTTATGACCTTTTTCAGCTTTTCTTTTCAACAATATTTTGCCAGCTTATAAAACTGCTATTAAGCAGAGATTTACACACTCTGAAGTAAATAACACATTTCAGTGGAAATCTGGAATGTATCTATCAGAATTAAGCATCCTGAATTATTTTAAGTAATATCAGCAATGTGGTATTAGAGAAGACTGTTTCAAGACAAAGTATGTTATTGCTTAACATAACATTGCCTACCGGAAATAATCCATGCCTGCAACAGGCAAAATTCTGTACATACATATACAGATTGAACTTCCCCTTAAAAGTACAGAAGCCTATTCTTAATAAAATCCCCATTACAATAACCTTTGCTTACATGACCTCTCTTACATGACAAACCAAATACAACTCAGTTTTTCCCACTGATAATTTTACTGGAGCAAATATTTAAGTCAGACTGACAAATGAAACTGAGTCCCTATTATTTACATCTACCTTCTGTCAAGTTACTGTTGATGCACCTTTTTTTTCATTCCTTTAAAATATATGTTTCTAAAACTAGAAGTTGGTCAATTCAACATAATCTGCATAAGACAGATTTTAAAAAAATACCTAAAGTTAGACACATGTTTAGGTCTGAAACAAGGTAAGCTTACAAAACAAACCTGTGGTCTAACAGATCCTCACAGAGATGTTTAATTTTCTGGGGAAAAAAAGCATGCAAGTTACTTATAAACACAAGATAACACATACCTTGTCTCTGATAAATCATGTTCTTGAATCAGATCTATCCATTCCTGGAGTGTAGGAGAATTGTAAGCCATCAAGTAACTTATTAGGTCAGATTTAAAATTAGTTTCAGATTCACCAGCAGAACCAGCTGTTCCCTGAGGTAGCCTTGGATATAAAGGGCTTAGCCATATTCTAAAAACAAAGCCACAAAAACAAGGACACCACACTAACACATGGCTTTCAGTGATTAAAGCACATCTGAAGGTCCTAAATGAATACTAGACAGATTTATTGTGATACTAACTATAAAGCAACTTGCTTTTACTTCACAATTAAAGAATCACCAAGTCTTATACTCAATACCATAAAACTAACACTTTCAAATGGAAACAACAATCTCAACACACTTACATCTGCATACATTTACAGCTTTCATCACTGTTACACAGGCCAGATCCAGATTTACCAACCTGTAGTCCTTTCATCAAAATTTTCTGTATGAATAGCACACTGCAATGCATTCTGCTAAGCTACTAAGTTGAATAATGACATAGAACCAATGAGGGCACCTGGAAGTTCTGCACAATTTGAAGAGCAGCCCACAATGGTAACTTGCCTCTCCAGAACTTCCATCAGAATGAAAGAGGGTGTGCAGGGAAAACACACAGGGAAAACAATTTGCATTTCTTTCTAGTCACACATTATTGAAGCCATGGAAAACAAACGAGAGGTCCTGCATTATCAACTTCACAACATGTTGATCCTATCCCTTTGTAATTCAGAAGTCTATGAAGCAGATGCCAGTGAACCATCATATTGCCGATACTGCGTGTTACTGCAGTGTGCAAAAGCTAAAAAGAAAAATGTTTTTCATGTTTGACAAGTAAGGCAGCTTCTTAAGCATTCCCAAAAGATATTTTCATGCTGTCTTGACTTTCTGAAAAGCTAACTGCCATAAGATACTAAAGCCATCCCTAAGTAAAAGATTTAAAGGAAAAAATCAGTGGTTATATTTTTGCCACTCAAAAACCCTTATGAGAGCTTGCCTCAGACAACTGAAAAGCCTCAAAACCTTGCCATATTTGATGACAACAAAATGGATGTCAAGGTGACAGTAACTTCTGAAAAGTAATTTAAAGTTAGTTTGATAAAGAAATCTTATACCCTGAGTTACTGTGGAGATCTAACTAAAAAGGCTCCCATAAAAATAGCCAAGACGGTGAGGGGCCTTATTCTATCACGTTACTCAGTCCTATTTTTTGTGCTCTAAACAAAACTCTCTCCCAAGCTGGTGTTAAGTTAAAAAGGATACTGGGTGGATACTAGGGTCGTCTACTGTATTAAGGAACCAATGGTGCCCAACATTTATAAGGTTATTTTCTAGACGCAGTCATAGCAGAAGGAGAACATCTCCACATTCACATTATTCTTGCAGTATTAAGATAATTTCTAAATAGCTGCCTTATATTTGTATTAAATGTATTTTATAGCTTGGTAGTTTTTTCATAAAGAGACAGCATGGTATAATAAGTTATCTCGAATCACTTGGACTGAATTTAAGGGAACAACCAGCTCAGGACATAATTTAGTTTAAGCAGAAAGCAAGGAGGGCTCAGGCCTAGACAACTACAGCCATTCCAGATTTGTTATTTTTTGCTCTATCTTAGCAGTGTAAGACTTGTACTGGATCATCTGAACTAGTATCCTGTCTCCAGAAGTAGCAGATACCTATGGAAAGTATTAAAGTAAACATACACCTGCTAGAGATTATTGCTTACCCTTGAGTTTTCTGGTGCCAATCTTCAGCAATAAGATTGGATGTATGTATCACAACTCGAAGACCTTCTTCATATAACAACAACATCATTTTCCTTCAAAAAAACAGATAAATAACACTTCATGTGTTTCAAGTACACTGAGAATAGGACATAAATTAACAACTCATTAAAATACTTTAAGATAATTATTTTCAAAAGATTTGTTCTGCATAGTGCACTTGGACTTCAATCCATGTGCATGCCAAACTTGCATGGCAGTCATTAGACTATCCCCATATATTTGTCAGCAGCATCATACGATATATTCCAGACTAAAGCTTAACAACTCATACAACTGACATCCCAAAGCAAAAAGGAATATTGGCTGAATACTTTCTGTATTTTTCACATTCTTCAGGTAAACTTACTCCTTTGCAGATAGCTAAAAGAAAGAATTAAGGAATACTAAAAGGGCTTTCTTATAGCTGAATTTATTAAAACCTAGTTATCTTCTCTTAAACTGACAACTTCTAAAACAAAAGAAGGTATGTAGATAACTAACCATTGGGATTGCAGAAAAGCTATTTATCTACCATAAATCTAAACTCAAGCTACAGCACAAAGGAATTTTAAAACTAGTGAGTTAAAAATAACATCTGTATTTTTTGTAATATAAGTGCTAAAATTTTCATATACAAGTTTTCAATAGCTGTATAAAGACAGCATATCAATATGACCCTGAAGGATGAGATGGCTTCCATAGAAACCAATGCTAAAGAATGAAAGCTATAAGGAATAACATGTTTATTTTCATTGTTGTCCCATGGCAAAATAATGCTACTCAAATCACATCAGGCTCAAATTTAGACAATCACTTATTCAGTAATTTCTGCTTTTAATGTTCAAAGTTCAACAGACTAACACTCAAGTACCTGTACATGCTTTCCTGTGCTCACTGCATAGTTTATGCAATATGCAAGACTCCCTAACTATAAAATAGTTCCCCACATCTGTGTTATGCCTTGATCTAAGCACAAATTGAGTTGACAGTAAAATAAGTATTTTACAGGAAAATAAATTGCAAGATTAAGGTATATAAAAGTTATAACTGACCAAAACACCGCTACCTCAAAAAAAAAAGTCATTGACATGTAATCTAAGTTTCACATCATACAACAGGAACGACATATTTAAGTATTTATATTTGATGTACTAAAATCTGTTAAGTTTCTCTTGGAGCAAAATTGTTTCACTACCCATCAAGATCTGATTCACTGGTCTGCTACCCACTTGTGTTCCATCTGCAGTGGAATATGTGTTCAGAGATACACTACCCAGAACAACCATTTAAACTTAAACCCTATAGGGTTGAAGAACTGTAGCATTTACCATCACTATCACTTATTTATCCCAAAGTCTGGTGGAGGAGAAAAAAAAAAATAAAGTTGAGCATACAGAGAATGAGAGCTACTGCTAAAACTGCTTAAGTGAAAATAAGCTAAAGCTTTAAAAATTATCAGTTTGAAAAAAACAATCTCAACTCCTTTTATGTCCTCCACTAAACCTGAGAGAGAAGCAAGATTCATTTTTAAAATGCTGACTTTTCCTTTATTTGTATATCCTTCTCCAAACAGGCAATAAGGAGGTCAGTTTGCTTTCTACCAGAAACAGACGTACCTTAAGTGGGCATTACAGATCAATGTTTTAACATAAGGTGATGTTTTATAAAATGGGTTCTACAAAAAGATTGACTGAAAAATACTGCATTGCCCCAGAACCAAAGATCCTCACTACCAGACATAAGATTAAATCTGTTCTTATCCATAGCTTGCAATCTACAAAATTCCCTTTGCGACACTTCCATAAAATTAAATCAAAGGTTTTTTTCCTTTGAAAATACCCCCAAATTCAGTAATTATTTTCAGATAATACACGTTAACTGCAAAAACCAAGCAGTAAGTCAGTGTTGTGTCCAACCTGCTAACAACTGATCAAGTCTGCATTTACAGCTTTGGTATTAAGGCATGAGTTAAGAGCCAGGACCTCCAGTTCACTGACTTTGCCTAACTTGCACATCTTACATCTGTCTAATACCTGGCTTGTCTCCTTAAACTATCATATCAAAGTACAAAATAATTAAGGAAATTTTTCTTTTAAGACTGTGAAACAGACACACATAGAACATGAAAGATACTACTTCTAAATTTCATCAAGAATTATGTTTTCACAAACAGTAATCTATCTTCCTATCCCATAATCACTTTAAGCCAGCAGACACTAGTTACTAGTTCAGTCATGGTAACTGTGTCTACCAACTCAGTGCTCATCTTTAAAAGTTGAACTTTCTGCTTCACAGTTGTTACTTACGTGTGGTGAGTTCCAAACGCAATATCCAGCTTAGCCTATAAAATTAAAAAGTTGACCATTAAAAATTCCTAATGTGCACTCTTAGATGCAAGAATGTTAAAGGAGGAGAGGTGCTTCTTTATTTTGTTTCATTTCACTGCTCTCTAGTGGACCGATCACAGAATACATTATTTTTCCACTCAACACCTTTAAATGTATTCTCCAGTTTCTAGAAGTTAAGACTTTAAATGGCAATGCAACCCTCTGCTGGAACTGCTCCAGCAGAATTTCTGGTCTCTTACCACAATTTTTTCAGAAATAGTAAGCCTTGCAGAAAAGGACCTGAGGGTCCTGCTGGACACAAAGTTGAACAGGATCCAGTAATGGGCCCTTGCAGCAAAGATGACTAATAGTGTCCTGGGCCACAATGTTGTGTGTGAAAAGGAAACATTATATGCAAAACCATTAATTTATTGTTAGCATACTTGAAATCTTCATCTGAAATGCTCACTACTCCGTAACTCAGTGCAAAAACCTGATAAGTATAGCACACAGCAGCCCAGAAATTCTGGTCTTGAGAATGGACTGTGTTTGGCATCAATACAGCAATCTCTAGGAAGCTCAGGGTTACCAGACTGCCCGAGAAGGAAGGAGATTCCAAGATTATTCTCTTCCTAACAAAGAATAAGATAACCCCACGATCAATAACATACCCCACCCAGCAAAATCCCGAAACGCTGGCAAGTTGCCATAACCATGTCCCTCTCCCAGACTGAATACAATAACTTTATGACTCAGGGACAGCAAAAGAGTGAGCATAACATCAGAGAAAATGGCATGTGCCAGGAAGTGTGCTCATAGCAATTTTAACAGTATTATGGAGACTATTTGTAATGGTATTTTCTTGTGTAAAACATATTTGGACAAATAAAAATTCCTTCATCAGACTTAAGACTACAGTGACACTAGGATCAAGTTCTACACTTTACAAAAAAAGTGCTTCCCTTTCAGCCATTGCAAGAATTTGAGTGCAACATGTTAGTGGAGAAGGTGTGCAGCTCATCCATGAGCCCCATGAAATTTTTGTGGGCAGTTGTTCTGTGCAAACCTTTTGTGAGCGACAGTCTACCAACATCACAGAAGACCAGGAACATAGTTACTATGTTCCCATGGTCCTGGTAAGTATATTCCTTAAAGCATAACAACAAATTCTTGTCTCTCTTAATCCAGGAGATTTCTGAGATGGTTTAATTTCAACCAAAGGAAGATACAAATGTTAATTACCTGACAAAAGCTAATGTTCTCATAAGGCCGTGCTTGTGCAAGCAGTTCAGCTTTGGATTCTCTCTTTTCGCCATGAACTATCAACAAGGGCTTCTTCCTTAAATAAAAGGAGATTACTATTAAAACATCAGGTGAAGTAGTAATCAGTCTAAAACACTCCATCATGTAGCTATGACTGCTGGCCCCTAAATTTGATAACCTAGCAGGAAGATGGCACTAAAATCCATATGCCTTATTAACTAACTCAAAAAGGCAGTAACTACAATAGAACTTCTAAGAGAAAGACACTAGGAAAAGTTTAATGGGGGAAAAAAAAAAACAAACCACCAACAACCAGGAAGCACAGAGTAAATTAGACACCAAAATAGAAACTAATAATACAAGATCTTGTAAGGAACTGTCTAGCTAGAAACAGATAGATAAAGCCTCTCAAAAGTATTGATATATGCAGTGTGGATCTAAGACAATTCAATCATTGTTACCTTACATAGAAGATGGGAAGAATGATAGGGAAAAGGAGAGAGCTAGGGTCTATTCTGGCAATAGTTTCATGTTCACTTCCTAATATTCTGTTCCACTGCTTTTCCAGTAAAATGCAAAAAAAGGAGACAAAACTGTATGTCATACACTCAGTTCATCTGCAGTAGGGTGCAATTATCAGAACAGAATTTCAAGCAAACAAAAGAATTGCTTTCATGACAATATCCAGCAACTCCAACAATATCATACCCATGACATATCCTGATCATTTGTGCATAGTTTTCTTGTTCCCTTCCTACATTCCCTCCTTTATCTTGCATTACCTTGCTCTTGGCTCAGTGAACCATACAGCAGAAAGCTTCTTGTTCCATCTTTACAGGTCACCTACTGCACTGTCATCATGCAGTAGGTCCCACAATGGGACCTCCTAAGTGTTAATTAATAAGAATCAGAAACCAGCCATAGTGAACTCTTGACCATTTAACAGTCTTGAAAACAGGCCAGAAATCAATAGAGACCTACAACTGTGGAATAAGCATACAAGGAAAACCAAGAGTCTACACACACACAATTGGTAACAACAATTTGCAACTGCAAACAAGTGTTTATCAGTCAGTTTTAACACCAACTTGCATGAACAGAATGACTTGGGAACTGTATCGTGTCATCTTCATAAAATAAACATACCTGAATTCCTGTGGATACTGTCTTACAAGCCACGCCACATCTATACAGTAGTTAAACTTGCATATAAGAAAAAGAAAATACACAAATTAAAAAGAAAAAGCAGAGTTTGTCAGAGCAGTGAACTAAAGCAAAAAAGCTTTCTTTGTAAAGTCATCACTCAATACCACTTACATCATCCACAGCATGTTTTAAAAACAGGTGTATTTTTCAATTTCACATGCTCTCTTTCATGTCTCAAGAATTCTTGAATTAATTTGTTATTCAAAAACATGTATTAGTGTTCATAAAATTTAACATGCATACAATGGAAAAGCTTTGGTTCAGGACCCACCTGTTTGCCATGTGCTTATACCATGAATCACAGCAAAAGCTTCCATGCAATAAAACATCCTTCCTAGATTGCAAGGCTTTTTTTAAAAAAAAAACCCCACCTCCTTTACAGGCATATAAATAAGCATTTTTCAGTTGTGCATGCCCCAAAAACAGGAGAGAGAAAGCAGTCTTATAATTGCCTGAATTCTAAGCAGAACATAGGGTGATTTTTATATTTCAACAAACTGTTGTGCAGTTGAAAACATTTAGAATTCCCTCTGTATTTTCACAGAGTTCCCTGCTAGTATCAGCTACACAGCACAAACATGGATTATCAAGTTTAAGGTTAATAAAGTGAAATAAGCAAGTGAAATCAATTTGGCAAACAGAGAACTCACCTGAGCAGAAGATATGAGAGTTCCAAAAAGAGGAGATAAGATATCTATTAAAAACAATAAAGCATAATTGAGTAAAAAAAGAAAGGTCAAGTGAACATTTCACATCTTCAACAGTTTGATAACTACCACAAGTGCCAGACTGTTCACAGATTTGGTGTAACAGAGACATTCACAATTAAGTCTACTGCTTTGACTATTCAAATCACCAACTCCTTTGTGAAACCCTTATGTTTATAAAAAGCATTAATCCTATAGAAGTAGAAAACAAATTTTAAAAACTCATTAGGAGAAAGACCAAAATCATATGGAGAAAGGGACATCAAACTACTCTCTCCCCTATAGAAAGGGCTTGAAGAACTGTGGCAGAGTAGAAGCAGTAGGGGCATAGTTAATGCTTAAAGATTTACCTGTTGCAGACTGATTGTTGGATATGTGTATCTTTAGTTCATTTGTGGTAACACAGGAAACTAATCTGACTGAGAATTTATAACCTCAATAAATGAAGCACAGCAGCAACTTGAAAACATATCCTACAAATATCCTCTAGGATAGACAAAATATTACATGCCCTATCTCTACAGAAATCTGGTTTTGTAGGTTAAACAAACAAAACACTCAGCCCTTCCACCAGCCTAATTAATCACCTAGCAGGACAACTAGGCCCAACAGAGGACAGGCTAAAAGGCACCAGGAATGCACAAAGCAGATAAAGACATAAGGAAGCCTAAAGCAAGGAGGTCGCTGACACCAGGCTGCCATCAACAATAAATGCTCATAGGGAGCACATGGCTTTGAAGAAAAGTTACAGCCTAGTGGTATAGCTCTTCAGTCATTTGTTCTCCTTCAACTAACCACAATTTTTTTCTGCCTCATTTTACTGTATTTCTGTGCTCAAATCTGTTATTCAGGCTTGTTTCTGATTCTGTCTTGTGATTTATGAGATTCATTTCTGAATGAGGGGATGTTTACAGGTGCATAGAGCAGTTCCACCTTAAATCAAACTATAACTACACTACAACTTCAGCATCCCTGAAGCATTAGTACTGTACACCAAAGACTTCACTCCATTTGACTTATGCTCACTTCTAATTGAATTTAAATAGGCCCCTGAATCCCACTCACAGAACTTCAGAAGTACTATCTTGTACTGCATCAAGTAATAGTGAATTACTAGGTCCAAACCACTCAGCAGCATAAAGACAAGTGCTAACAGCTACTCAGGGAGCAAGGTGAGGCATCCAAGAAAAGTACCCCTTTAGGAGCCACGAAGGCAAGCAGTCTTCCTTAAATTAACTCACATGGAAAGCAGCACTATATGATTTGCCTTGACTAAATACACATCAGATCTGTGCAGCCTAACTCAGAAGTTGCAACAGAATCAGTATCAGCAAATTATGCTTTATACACTATACTTCTAAAAGAGAAGGGCAAAGATATAAGAACCAATTCCTACAACTTGCACATTTAGAATATGAAGCCTCAGTCACACTAAGGAATACTTGCATTTTAAAATACCCACGAACTAAAAATAAGCATTCTTCTGCAAACAAGATTCCCAGAAGCCCCCTTCTGTTGAAGCCACTTGTTCACCTTTTATGTGCAGGGCTCCAGAATTATACCTCCGCTCGATTCCTGTGACTTTAGTGAGAAAAAACCTGAAAGGGTTTCCTCTATTCAACAAATCCCAGGTATCTTGGGCTTCACTGGGTGTTTCATCATACTCCTCTGCTTTCTGATTCTCTGAGAGTTCATCATCTTTGCAAAGATTCACAGGATGTTTTTCAGGTCCATCACTCTTTTCTTCTTTCAGTGTTTCTTTGTGACCATGCTTTTCCTCATCTTCAGGCTCTTCATCACTGCTAGAAACACACCAGCCTAGGCCTTCTTGGCTAGTTCTCTGTTTTTCTGCTGGAGGTATTTCTGTAGAAATTCTCTTATCACTGAGCTTTAGGGGAGAAGCTTTTCTCTTGTGAGCTGCTTTCCTAGCTTCAGAGCATGGATATTGTGGCCCACTTGTTCTGCCACGTGCAGCATCCAATAGTGAAGATGTAGATGGCTTTTCACTGTCAGAATTTTCCTCAGTACTTTCATCACTGCTAGACACTGTCCATTTTCCATGTGCATCTTCCTGAAGCATGTTCCTAGGGATTAAAAAAACAAAACACCAAAAAATTTTGTGCGTTTTTGCTGTTTTCCTTCCTAGTTTCCATTTGCTCACTACCAGGCAGCCGCTTTGCCTTTTGTATTTGGCAGAATCTCCACGCAGCTTCCGACTCGGGAAAGTTTCACAGCGCACAAGGCTCGTTTGTTTCTGTGCCCAGGACACAAAGAAACACGTGTAACGGCAGCAGCAGCCGCCGAGCGGGGAGCAGCC